TCAAATTGTTTTTGCATCGTGATAACGGTCTAACGAGTTTATTTTTTGGTTTTGATTTTTTCATTCGGACAAAGTGTCCGCACATGGTAGCAAAGCGAAGTTCGGTAGCATAGACGACTACTTCTTGGAATTGTGGGCCGACGACGAATTTGAAAATTGTAGACTGTTTTCAAATCCAACAAATTCGGCCGTTGTTCAAACAGCACATACACCAGTCAACCAAGCAACAAAGATAGTTGTAACGTCACAAGAGACACCGACATCGACAACATTGTGTTCTACCGAACCATCGATTGTTGACAACGGCGCTCCGGACGTCACAACACCAAATCCATCGACATCGAGCGACGCTACTCTCGTACCGCCAATCACTGAAGAGCCGAAGAATACGGTCGTGAAACCAACACACGACGTCACAACACCAAATCCATCGACATCGAGCGACGCATCACTAATAAGCCAAAGAATACGGTCGTGAAACCAACAACAACTAAAGACCAGTTGAAACCGTCATTCAAGCGGTCAAAACCACCGGCAAAAGTGAATCGCTCAATTGGTAATTTAAAATCAGAAGTACATAAGTTACCAGCACCAAGCAACGACAACAATCCATTTGTACGCAAGGCAAGCAATCGAGGCAAACATCCATCGAGCGGACGCGACTCACGGTTAAACACAAAGCGATTGGCACCGATTGATAGCCGCCAGACAGCAAGCGATAAACGGCCACCAATACCAGCAAGTGTCACACCTCAACGTGTAGTACAGTCAGCACTCACGCAGCGAGCAACAAACCAATTGTCTCCGCAATACATATTCCCGAGCCCGTTCGTTGTACCACGTGGCACACCACGTGGTCCGAACCACCAACAACAACTGCATGCTCCAAGCCAACAACAACAACAACGTACAGTGTATACACAACGTCGTTTTGAGACAACCACACGTCGAAAAACGCAAGGTACTCAAGTGAATCTTGCTTGCACCGAGTGTGACGAATTGCTCGCTCGACTAGCGGACTCAGAACAAAAGAATCGTGAATTACTGGCACAGCTGAACGCTAAACTCAACGAGGTGAAGGAGTTAGCTTGCGTTCGGTGTGTCACTCGTAACAAGCAGATCAATATACGCCGTCGCATACGTCATCAAGTCTACCGCGAGTATTATCGCCTCAACACAACTAAAGGGTTGCATGCAGTGGTTGAAATCGACAAAGCACCAGTGTACTTACACAAACATTCCTAACATATGTACATAACTCATGCTATTTAAATACATTCCATCATTCATTGATTAAAATAAAGCAAGTCACAAATTATCGAAGCTATTTAATAGCAAATTGTACGCTAAGATCAGTTTCTTTATTCAATAAAGACAAATAAAAAAAAAAAGAAGAAGAAGACGAAAAATGCCAATCTTTCATTGAAAAGGTTTAGCATTTTTTCAGCAAAGATGAACGAAGAAAAGATTGCATCCGCAGCGTTTAAACGCACAGGTAACGTACTGAATAACGCGCTCGAAGTCATCAAGAAGTTCGATGCCTTTACCGAACTTTCAACGCTCATTGTTTATCAAGAAGAGAGCGAACACGCATGGAACAACTATCAAAGTGTATATACCAACCTCGAAGCATTATTGACAGGTCAGTCCGACGACGCGCTTCAAACACACCTGTCTGATTTCTCAGCCATGCACACGAAGTATCTTACCGCACGTATACGACTAACACGATTTCTCGCCCTCTCTGCACCGAATGCTGCGCATGAGACGAGCATAACATCAGAGAGCAATGATAACATGAACATCAGAGCTTCTTATAAAATGGCTCCCATTCGCATACGCACATTCGACGGCAAAATTGTTGATTGGCCTGAATTCCGCGCTACGTGCAAGGCGGTTTTGACTAACAAAATCCCAGAAATTCAGCGTTTACAATACCTCAAAGATGCGCTTGCCGGCGAGCCTCTCAATCTCATTAAACATATTACACCAGAGGAGGGAGCATACGATACTGCCTGGATTTTACTTAAAACTCGGTACGATAACACACGAGCCATCGTCAATACAGCATTGAATAATTTTTTTGATTTACCGCCGCTGTCATCCGAATCGTTAAGTGGTTTAAAATCACTATACAACACCATTTGTGGCACCATTGCCACGTTGAAAAATTTCAAGGTAGACACATCAACATGGGACGCAATTTTGTTATATAGTGTAGTGCGTAAATTCGATCCCGAGTCTCACCGGCATTGGGAAGAGACATTAAAAGGTTCTAAGAGCATTCCAGAGCTCAAACGTCTGTATGATTTCATTGACATGAGAATTAGCGTTCTTAATAACAGCGAAACCATAAAACCAGTGGGAGCTAAACAAACATTTCACAAGCATACAAAACAAGGCTTCAAGCCACAACCAGTCATGCTCACATTAAACTCAAATTTCAAGTGTTTTCTCTGCAATGAAAATCATGTCATCGCTAGATGCGTGAAATTACTTCACGCTAAATCTATGGGTGAGATTGACAGTGGAGTATGTTTTTTCTTCGATTTATATTTTTGAAAAGGCGAGTATGTTTTCTGATGATTCTGTTGGCGTTAAAGTAGAGTATGTTGTAGTACCGTCTAGCCTCCGCGGTCTTCATGGTTTTCGCGCAACTGATAAGAGATAACAACATGGTGTCTTCGGCAAAGTTGTAGTACTTGAGGTCTTCTATAACTAAGCTGAAGACAGTTATCTCTTATCTCTTATCAGTTGCGCGCAAATCGCGCACATAAAAAAGCAAATTTTATATAGAACTTTTACCGTGGAAAACCGCGAGGATCCGCTAAAAACGAACATACTCGCTTTTAACCATTTTTAAGTCGACAGAAACTTGCTCTTCTCTTTCGTAACAAAGTCAATCAAACATACACTACTCTCAATCTCACCCATAGAAATATGCCGACCGAATAGAAATGGTCAACGATAAACACCTGTGTCATAACTGTTTAAATCGACACAGAATTGACGATTGTCCATACACTGCCAACTGTCGACATTGTGCTAAACATCATCACTCATTATTGCATGAGAGTATCGAGCCGTTAGTCTCAACAATCATTGACTCCGAAACTGATGTGGAGATCGACCACAGTGAAAACGAGATTGAATCAACCGAAATCTCACTACACACTCAGATTAGCAAAAGCGCAATTCTGGCAACTGCACTATTTCCAATTTCCTATAACGGAAAAACAATTACGGTCCGAGCACTCGTCGATCAAGGTTCGACGTCAAATCTAATCACAAAACGAGTATGCAAATTGTTAAGACTGCCAACAACATCCACATATGTGCCACTCACCGGGCCATGTGACGTCAAGGTTGGTAGCTTTAAAGAGAAAGCTACCGTGACTTTAGGCCCATGACACAATGAAAAATTCAACATGACTATAGCAGCATACATTGTTAAAACGGTCACTGGACTAAAGCCGATACAAGTCGCTCAGCTGAAAGATTGGCCCCATTTACAAGGCTTACCTCTTGCTGACCCTGAATTTTTGGAGTTTAGTCACATTGATATGCTCTTGGGCTCTGTAGTTTTCGGCGAAATCGTACAGTGCGGTTTAGTGAAGGGAACAAGCGATGAACCAATTGCACAACTTACGTCATTGGGTTGGATCGTCTCTGGAGCCGCAAACAAAATTGAAGAAAAGGAAATCAGTTGTAATGTAATCCTCGAAGAAGAGAGCATTTCACAACAATTAGCAGCATTTTGGCAAATCGAAGAAATAAATCAAGGTAAACATTTATCTATAGACGAGCAATGTGCTGAAACCGCCTTTGTAAAGTCATTGCAAAGATGCGCCGACGGGCGTTTTATGGTAGAATTGCCTTTCAAAATGAACCCATTTTCATTAGAATGCTTTGGTGAATCATATTCGATCGCGAAAAGACGTTATCATTCGACTCAACGTCGACTCACAAGAAATCCCGAGCTTCAGATGAAATATGATGAAGGGCTGCAAGAATATATCATTCTTGGACATATGGAGCTTGCAACCGAGCATGACAAACCATTTGTCTGCCTACCACATCATCCAGTCATAAAAGAAGCGAGTACAACCACAAAGGTACGAACCGTTTTCGATGCCTCTGCCAAAACTACAAACGGTTTCTCATTAAATAGTCGCGTATACATTGGACCAACTATTCAACCAGATTTATTTACGCTGCTCCTTCGGTGGCAACGTTTTGAGTTCGCATTTTCTGGCGATATAGAGAAAATGTATCGTCAGGTGCGAGTGCATCCAGAGCATGCTAAATTTCAATGTATTTTGTAGCAGCCACCTGATACAACCGAAATACAACGGTATAAGCTGAATACGCTCACGTTCGGAGTTGCAAGCTCACCATTTCAAGCCATTGGAGCCTTGCACCAAATAGGCGAAGACGTAAAAAAAGATGATTCCGAGTTAGCGAGAAACATCCAAGAGAAGTTTTACGTCGATGATTATTTGGGTTGTGAAATGGCCATTGACAAGGCCATTGAAATGCAACGAAAAATTACTAACACACTCGCCAAATACGGATTCCATTTACGTAAGTGGAAATCTAGCCATGGTGAAATATTACAAGAAGTGACACACGATCACAAAGAACAAATCATGGATATTGAGTCAACAATCAAAACGTTGGGCATATCTTGGAATCCAAACAGTGACGAGTTCGTTTTCAAACCAGCTCAACGACAGTTGGCAGCGATAAACTGGACAAAAAGAAATGTTTTATCGGAAATAGCCAAATTATTTGATCCAATCGGTTGGATGGCATCAGTGGTTATCAAAGCCAAACTCGTAATGCAAGACATTTGGCGAGAAGGAGAATCCATCGGTTGGGATTCACCGCTCACACCAAAAATATTAGAACAATGGGAACCCATTGCCAAACAATTGTCGACACCAATTCCCATTACCATTCCACGTTGGATTGGCTTATCTAACGAAATGGATGCCGTTGAGATACACGGCTTTGCAGACGCATCAAAAATCGCATATGCTGCCGCAATTTATATGCGTATAATTCATAAGGACGGAAGCATCAAATGCAATTTAATCGCATCCAAAACAAAGGTTACTCCAATACGCCCTTTGTTGACCATACCAAGATTGGAATTATGTGGCGCTTGGCTATTGGCTCAACTATACGAAAAAACTGTTACAGCCTTATCCATCGAACAGTACACAACACACGCATGGACTGACTCCATGATCACTCTTTCATGGTTAGCGGCACACCCGTCGAAATGGTCAGTAATCGTAGCGAACCGCGTAAGCCAAATTCACGACATCCTACCGTTCGACAAATGGTTGCATGTGCCCACCGATCAAAATCCTGCTGATATAGCATCGCGCGGCATGCTTATAAACGAGTTGAAAGAATCAAGCATGTGGTGGCAGGGGCCATACTTTCTACATCAACCCATGCATGATTGGGACACAACCGTCGAAATAATCCAGGAAGAAAAACTTCCTGAACGAAACAATACCACAGTTTTCACGGTCCAGGTGCAAGAAAATGACACCTTAAACCGATTCTCTGATTATCAGTCACTCCTCCGTATCACTGCCTTAATCAATCGCTGGAAGGACAAGAGCAAAAAACGAATCGACTCTTTGTCAAATCCGTTGATAGCGACCGAAATCAACAAAGCAGAAACTCAATGGATTAAGATTATCCAAACAGAGTACTTCAAAAATGAAATCGCTGCACTGAAAAGAAAAGACAGCGTATCACCAAACAGCTCATTAGCTAAACTCAATCCATTTCTCGACCGAGAAGGTCTGTTACGCATGAATGGCCGAGTAAACAATGATGATATCGCGGCACAAAAAACAGCACTCATTTTACCGGCTCACAGTCATTTCACTGAACTATTAATTCGCTACACGCATGCCAACGTACTACACGGTGGCGTTCAGCTTACACTGCGCGCACTACGCGAACGCTTTTGGATCATACACGCTCGTACAGCGGTAAAAAGCATTATTCACAAATGTGTGACATGCATCCGGTTTAACAAAAGTTTGCTCAAACAAAAGATGGCTGAACTTCCAATCACACGCACGCAACAGTTTAGACCGTTTGCATTCACTGGCTATTTCAATGTCAAAACATCCGAACTACGAAACGCTCCATTCACCAAGGGCTACGTCGCTCTATTCATTTGTTTTGCAACAAAGGCTATACACCTAGAGCTCGTCACGAGTTTGACAACAGCGGATTTTATTCTTGCCTTCGACAACTTCATATCTCGACGCGGCATTCCGACCGAATTTCATTCAGATAACGCTACGACTTTCATCGGCGCAAGCAAAGAAATAAAAGAGATGCATGACCAATGGTTCAATCAGAATAAGAAATTAAACAAAATTCTTGCTGAAAAACGCATCGTATTCAAAACCATTCCAGCTCGTGCTTGTCATATGGGTGGTATATGGGAGCGATCAATCGGTTTGGTTAAGAATCATTTGTATCGAGTTTTAAAAAACGTCAAATTAACAGCACGGCATTTCGATAACGTATTGAAACAGATCGAAGCCTGCGTTAATTCTCGACCATTATGGGCAGTATCATCAGAAACAGATGATTGTAAAGTATTGACTCCAAGCCACTTCTACAACTTCCAGCCCATACACACGCTTCCAAAACCAGATGCATTACACATTCCGATCAATCAACTCGACCAGTGCCAATACTTATACCGATTATATAGTGATTTTTGGTCTGCTTGGTCGAAAGAATACTTGCACCAATTGCAACCACGCGATAAGTGGACTACAGCAAAGGCAAACACGACGATTGGACAAATTTTCATCATCTCCGATGATAACATGCCTCCAAGTCGTTGGAAGTTAGGTAAAATTGTCACGGTCCATCCAGGAAATGATCAGCTCGTACGGACAGTAGAGGTCCTAAGTGATGGAAGAACCTTAACTCGTCCAATCCATAAGTTAGTTCTCTTACCAGTAACGAGCAATCAAGAAGAAGAACACAGTTAAGAAGGACAAGGAGAATCAGGTAATTGAGAGAGAGAAGCAGCTGAACGGGACAATGCAACCTAGAGGGAGAATGTCGAGAAAACAATAACAATAGGTACATGCAATTAGCATAGAGACAATTTTTGCTCTGCAACCAACTTATAATTCGCTGATGCAACGCATTAGCGAATCTAATATTTCTTATCTATAAGCATGCAAGTATTATCTCATTTCATCAGTTAAATAAAGTCATTCAAGTTCATTGAAACCATTCATTGTTTTCATTCATTAAAAATTGAGTG